GAGGACAGGTGACCCACCACAATTACAGGACATTTTGAGAGATGCTCATAGTCCCCTGGAACTAGTCGACCTAGGAGGGCAAGGAGCAAAAACTGTCTTTTATGTCCCTCTGACCAAATTATTATAGGCCTCAAAGTATGTCTCTTAAACATCCAAGAAGGTTAGTTCCACCAGTCTGGTACTTTTAATTACTGTACGTCATGTAGATACATCTTGGGCAAAGACATTTTTTTTAAAGGTTAAAACCTCACTCAATTTTATATCTTATAGGGTTTATACTGAGTTCAATACTGTCTAACTATATTAATTCAACTGTGAACCTAAAAATTTACAGCCAATATTGAAAGGGATGCATCTTTGCTCTGGAAATTGTTATTGAATATGTTAATGCTGTAATGGAATGCGTCTTCTAATCATGTGGTTATTAAATAATTTTTTTTTTTTGGTCTTTTTGAGACAGGGTCTCCCTGCAGCCCCAGCTGTCCTAGAACTCACTATGTAGACCAGGCTGGCCTTGAACTCACAAGATCTGCCTGCCTCTGCCTCCCGAGTGCTGGGATTAAAGGTGTGCACCACCACGCCCAGGGGTTACTAAATAATTTTTTTAAAAAAGGTTAGGAGCAATTTGTGGCGGGCTTTGTTTTGTCATATTTGGAGACAGGGTCTTAATTTGTAGCCCAGCCTGGCCTCCAACTCACTATATAGCCCAGACTAACTTTAAATTCAAGGCAATCCTCCTGTGTCAGCATTCTTAGTGTCAGGATTACAGGTGTGAACCACAATGCCTGGGTGTGTAGAACTTTAAAAGACCCTAGAGCAGACAGCATTCATATGATCGTATGGAAAGCTGACCGGCAGGCAAGAGCTCATTCCAAACAAAGAAGACAAGGAGGACTTCTGCGCCCCCAGATGCATGTGGTCTGAGAGTCCAGTCTGATGGAAGAGTGAAGGGATCTCCCTTAAGTCTTACTCCAAAATAGTAGTATGACACTGGTCACCTACTTCCAGAGCATAAATCTCTGCAGAGTATGATCAAATTAATTAAAAGTTCCATTTACTGTTCTTTGCCAGCAGGGATTCTTTTATCTTTGATTGCAAAGTAAATTTCAGAAGGCCTCTATCAAAAAAAATCCAAGTGTCCAGCAATATTAATCATTATGAAGATTTGTTTGTTTATCTGTCTGAGACAGGGTATCCCTGTAGCCCCAGCAGGCCTGGAACTCAGTATGTCGACCAGGCTGGCCTTGATCTTACAGAGACCCACCTACTTATGCCTCCCGAGTGCTGTGATTAAAGGTGCATTATGGGGGCTGGAGAGATAGCTCAGCAGTTAAGGACACTGAGTGTTCTTGCAGAAGACCCGGGTTCAAATCCCAGCACCCACAGGGCAGCTAACAACTGTCCGTAACTCCAGTTCCAGGGGATCCGACAGCCTCCTCTGTTCTCCGCAGGCATTGCACAATACGGTGGCACTTACCTACATGCAGGCAATATATGCATACATATAAAATAAAAATAAACATTTTTTTAAAAAAGGTGCATTATGGGGCTGGAGAGATGGCTTAGTGGTTAAGAACACTGGTTGTTCTTGCAGAAGACCCAGGTTTGAATCCCAGCACCCACATGGAAGCTAATAACTGTCTATAACTCCAGTCCCAGGGGATCTGACAGCCTCTTTTGACCTCTGCGATGCACTTACCTACATGCAGGCAATACACGCATACACATAAAATTAAAATTAAAAAATTTTTTAAAAGGTACAGTATGGAGATTTTAAAAAATAAACTTTTTGCAAATAAGCAAGAACATGGACTAGGGCTATAATCTCAGTATTTGAGAGGCTGAAGTAGGACTGTGGGGGGGTTCAAGGCTAGCCTGGAGTACATAGTGAATTCTAAGCCAGCCTGAGGTACAAAATGAGATCCCGAGTCAAAACAAAATAGAAAAACAGTAACAATCAATCAATCAAACAAAATCAGTAAATAAGAATGTAATGGTATTCTTTTTTTTTTTTCCTGGTCTTTGAGACAGGGTCTCCCTGTAGCCCCAGCAGGACTGGAACTCATTTTTTAAGCAATCATTAAAAAAGGAAGAGGGCTGGGCGTGGTGGCGCACGCCTTTAATCCCAGCACTCGGGAGTCAGAGGCAGGCAGATCTTTGTGAGTTCGAGGCCAGCCTGGTCTACATGGTGAGTTCCAGGACAGCTGGGGCTACAGGGAGACCCCGTCTCAAAAAGTCAGAAGAAAAAAAAAAAAAAAAAAGGAAGAGACTCTGCCTTTCTCTACCTTACAGGGCATTTGTATACTAGCTATAATTCTATAAATATAATCTGGACACAAAAAAAGCAGTACTCTGAGAATCACAGCAAAATTAAGCACATGCAGTATTTCTGATATAAATGTTTACCTGAGAAGCCTGTCAGAAGACTTGCTAGGACACGCTTGCCTACTGCTTCAGTTCTGCTAAGGCTGGATATAGAATCTGCCCTGGTTTCTTTGAGGATAGTGGGCTTTTTAGAAATTCCAAGATCAGATCCAGTCTTGACATCTGTATGTTCTAGGAAGTCAGAGGACCTCTGTGACCTGGACTGTGGCACAAAGGGTTGCTTGAGTTTTCTTTCAGATTCTCCTTTGCCCTGCCCCCTTTTGGTATGTCTTTCACCTAATTCCTTAAGGGCTCTTATGGTGAGCTGCTCCTGTTCTAAGTCAAGCGAAGCCACCGGAGTACCTTGTGAAGGGACTGTGTCCAGAAGCTCACTTCCATCTGTTTCTCTGTGTTCACCATGTTTGCTTTTAATGTCTTTAATGTCAGAACCTCCTGACTCACTTTCCCGTAAGACTACCACAGGCCAAGTGCTTTGAAAGTGTGCCGTCTCTGACACTGCTTTAGAGACACTTCCTTCCCCTTCCTCCACGATCCCTTTCTCAGGGGTTTCTGTAAAGGCAGTTGGCAAGTCCTCTGGGGAAGAATCATCTGCATCTTTAACATGTTTTCCATGTAATGGCTCCAAGTTGGCAAAGGCGGTCATAGTTAGTGAGAATTCTGTCTCATTAAGAAAAGTACCTGGAGGTGCTGCTGAAGAAAGTTTGGAGTTGACAGTCGTGGGAGGCTTTCCAGGAGCAACTTCACTTGAAGTACCAGGTACTTGTGAACATGCCTCCCCACCATCTGGACTCCTTCTGAGAGTATCAGGTTGAGCTGGACGTGGCCCTCCACTAGAGTGTTTGGACGCTTCACCTTGCAGAGTCTGACAACTGGGTATCTCTCTGAGTTCCCTTTCACTTGTTTTTGCAACAGCACTGGGAATGGAGGAAGGTTTTTCAGGCTGAAGTTTGTTATTCTCAAACGATGTATCCGCTGTGATGTCTTCTATGACTGTGTCGTCAGACTCCCCAGAACTATCAGCTTCGGTGGCTTCTCCCAGTGCAGAGTTCGACCAGTTCACGGCATCCTTCAGGTTGGGTAGAACCACTTTCACAGTGGCTGCTCCGGAACTCAGGGCGATGGGTTTCCCACCTGGAGCTGTGGGCAGCTCTGAAAGCACATTACCACCTGGAGCTGTGGGCAGCTCTGAAAGCACATTACCCTGTATCTGTGCACTGCCTTGCACATCTCTGCCACTGGTTTCTTCCGTGGAGTTGAGATAGTGCCTTACAGGTTTTCCAGTAACATTTTCTTGAGGGAGAGATGCTTCTGGCCAGTCACCTGTGGGTTTGGTGATGGGAGTGCTCCCATTAAGAGAACATACAGGCATTTTCTGATGAGTGTTCATTTTAAGATTTATAACTGGAATTTCTGAGTGATGTTCACGCCTCTCAAGTCCTGTACTCTTTGTGGTGCAGTCAGAAGACTTAGTCTGCTGTTTTACTTGGGGGACTAAGTCCCAAGTCAGTATTTCATTAGTGAAGTTATGCATATCATTCACACATCTAGACACCTCTTCCAGAGCTGCTGTTGTGTGTGAAAACTGCCTAGTGAGCAACGTAGAGGCTGGATAACGCCCCGCCTCTTTACTTCTCAATGGAAACACTTTGTCATTACTTTCCAGCAAGTCTGCAGATGATTCTCCATCAGTGTGCACTGCCCAGCCACCCAGATCATTTGTGCATTCCTTATATGAATCCTTAAATTCTCTGTCAAATGCTGCTTTGTCAATAAGTACTTCAAATGGTGATTCAGGGGAATCTTTTTCTGTGCTACCTCCTGGAAGTTCAGATGGGGACAAGGAGTACCCACAAATACCTTCTGCTTTAGACTGCCCCACAGCCAGTGCACTGCCAGCCTCCCTACTCAGAACCTTGCTTAGGTTGAGTTCTTGGTCTTTAATTACTTGCTGTTCTACTGGACCAGCTTCCTTTGAAAGAAAGGCAGGATGCTCTGGGAAACTGGTTGGAATGGAAGTGCAGCTGTAAGCAACTCCGGCTGCAGGAGAGAATGGAGCGCCTACTCCGTCCTTGCTAGTCCCCTGAGATGTGTCTGTTCTTTTCATGTCTAGAAGAAGCAAGGGGTCTTCTCCTTCTTTGGCTATTACAGGTTGGCTGCCTAACATTTTTCTTTTTTCTCCAAGTACTGTTGTAAGGTCAGGGTTATGTACTTCAGAAGATGAAAGGAAGGAGGAAGCCATGATTTTTAAAGGTGGCTTGTCAGAACAAAGAGAGCTCAATTCCTCTATGGTCAGAATTTGAAAAGAAAAATTTGTTTACCAGGTACAATTACACATTAGCTAGTCATGCCAAACAGCATGCCTTTTATTTTTAAATCACACTCACATACGCACACACACGCACACACACAGAGTGTGTGTATATAAACATACGCAATGCACACAAATAACAAAACAAGGTCGGTGGCTATCCTACAACACATGCATAAAATTGCCAGCGATGAAAAGCCATATCATGCTACAAATTGCAAATGACAAAAATTTTCAGGACAAATACTTTCTAAAAAATTTTACTTATTTATTTTTACTTTGTGTATGAATGTTTTGCCTGCAAGTGTATAAGTACACCATCTATGTACAATGCCTGCAGAGGCCAGAAGAGCCCCTGGAACTGGAGTTCAGATGGCTGTTTAGCCGCGACGTGGGTGCTGGGAATCAAACCTGGCTTCTCTACAAAAGCAGCCAGTGCTCTTAACCGCTGAGCCATCTCTCCAGGCCTGACAAATACTTTTTAACCGCTACTTTTTCCTACTGCACGATGAAGTGATTGGTACTGGGCGATTTGGGAGGTTTTTCTTTCACTTTCTGTGGAGGTAGTTAGTTAGCAGGAGCAACATAATCCATACAAAACAGCTTGATATAATGACATGCTACTTTGCTTTTCCCTGTAAGCCGCACAATCCAGAACATGCTGGTTCTCTAAATCCACTGTCACAGTCCTAACAATCTGAGCAGGGGAAAAAAGTGGTCACAGTTCTTGATCTTGGTGGCAGATCTTTCCTCAGCCAGAAAACCAGACTAAAACAATTCTATTCTGTCTCTCAAGAAAAGTTCCAAATAGCCTCAAGATCCTAAGAAGTAGCTGAAAAGGTTGGACTGTTTCCAAATCTTGCCATTTTAACCAAAATCAAACAAAGCATCACAGCTGAGAGCTGCCTTGGGTTTCAGGGGAGACACTGGACTTGGACGTTTGAAAAATTTACAGCTGTTAAGACTATGAGGATCCAGTGTGGTGGCACAGACCTTTGATCTCAGTGCTTGGGAGGCTGAAGCAGGAGAATCTCTGTGAGACTGAAGCCAGCCTGATCTACATAGTAAGCTCCAATCCATCTGGGAAAACAGGGAGATCCTGCTTCAAAGAAACAAGACTGTGAAGACTCACGGAGATGGACCGAGTTTATTCTGCTTTATAAGACAGACATAAGCCTTGTAGAGTGAGGTGTGGGATGTTAGTTTAAAGCAATGCATTTGGCTGTCAAATTGGCAAGTGGTAGATTTATGAGAGTTCATTTTCACTGTCACTTTTGCTGTGTTTACAACTACCTAGAGACTGTGTTTGTGACAGTGTCTTAGAGAGCTCAACTGAAAGGTGGACCTGCTGAGTGTAAATAGCAGCATCCCACTGTCTAGGCGGTCAGACAGAATAAAAGGGGAAAATGAAGACAACCAGTAGAGCACCAGTGGGCCCTGACCTACCATGACATGAACTATGCTGTGGAACCATTTTCTCCCTGCCCCAACGGACTTAACCCCCTGAAACTATGAACCAAAACAAACCTTTCTTCATTACAAAAAAACCCTGAATGGTATGAACTGGTTTCCTTGGTTAAGACAGTGTAAATTCTAGGATTCTTTTAAAAATAGAAGCAATCAATATCATCTTATCAGTTATTAATTCCACATTAATCCTTAGTTTACTGCACTCTTTTCTAGCTTTCCAATCTAGAAAAGGTCAAAATAACCATCTCGAGGAAAGGCACTCTCTCTCCCTCTTGCACACTGTTCTATCTCTGGAGCTGGAACAATGTAGACCTTTTATTGTTTGTTTGTTTTGAGACAGGGTCTCCTAATAGCCCCAGCTGGCCTGGAACTCACAGAGATCCACCTGCCTCTGCCTCCCGAGTGCTGGGATTAAAGGCGTGTGCCACCATGCCCGGCTGATAAATAAAATTTTTTAAAGTTAAAAAAAATATAATAAAACCGGGCATGGTAGTGCATGCCTTTA